GCTTGGAATATGGAAAAGCTTACATTCAGGGGATGGGAATATTGCCATTACACTGATATTGTCATGAGAAAAGCTGATCTGAACACAGATGTGTCAGTTGTGGCATTACTTTACTCTGGCATTACATGGCTTGCCCACCCACATCTGTCACACCCCTGTGGACTGTTGATTGTGGTTTCTCCCTCTGTGTCCATATTTGGTTATTCCTGTTCTCGTTATTAGTTAATCACCTCATTGTGCTCACCTGTCTGCCCTCGTTATCTGCCCTATATCAGTTCCTGTCGATTGTGTTCTAGTTTGTCGGTTATTGTGAATGTTACCTCATGTGTGTGTGTTCCTGACCTGTCTGGATTACCTATTGTGGATTAATTAAAGTGATTATTGGAATTATCCATCGTCTTCGTCATCCTGCCCGTTTCCACACACTGTGTTCATGACAGAATAACCGACCCACAAAAACTATTTAAGCGGCGTCTTCCCCTCATTTTGTTTTCCGTTTTTGTCAGTTTTTATTTTTTATTATGAACTAACCCTTCCGTCCTTGTCCTCCTGCTGGAGCAGGGGATCGCTCTCTTGAGGACCACACTTTGACTTTGTGTTCCTCGCAAACCTCACACACTACCCGGACAACTGCTTCTGCTCATTCTATCGAGCTGGACTTAACGCCATCACACGAGCGCAGTTGTCCGGAGATGGTCCCCGAGAGAGCATCGCCGCCTTCCGCCTCCTCTCATTGACCTGTTCCCTTCCTCAACACCCTCTCCACTGGATCCCGTCAGCCTCTCTGCTCACCCTCAGCTCACCATCTGTGGCGTGGGCTCGCCCCTGGTCTGCCTATCTCCAGCTCCATTGGCGTTGAGTCTGGAGGATCCCTCGACTCCGCCTTCAGCCTCCGAGGCCCAGGCTCAACCTCGGTCCTGCGACCCAGTGGCTCCACCATGGCTCCTAGCTCCCTTGTCTCCACCATGGCCCATCAGTCCACCAGCTCCACCAGGACCATGGCCCGTCAGTCCACCAGCTCCACCGGGCTCCATTGTCCCTCCGGCTCTGCCTTGGTCAGTCGTTGACCATCCGCCGCCTCTGGACTCAACTCCTCTGGCTCCGCCTCATCCCTCCGTCCCTCAGGCTCTGTCAGGCTCCTCCTTCTCTCTGGCTCCACCTCAGTCCTCTGTCGCTCCGGCTCCATCGCGGCCTTCCGGATCCCCGTCTCCGCCTCGGTAACCCTGGCTCATTGGCTCTCCGTCTCCCCCTCGGGCTCCTTCACCACCTGCTCTGCCGCCGTCGGTCGGCCCCCTGGAGTTGTCAGCCCTTCCTCCACCATGGCTCCTCCCTCCGTTGGCTCCACCGTGGGCCGCTATCATGGCTGTGGCCTGGGTCCCACCTGGCTCATCCTCCTGCTCCAGTTCCCTCCTGTCGTCTCTCTGGCTCCTCCCTCCGTTGGCTCCACCGTGGGCCGCTATCATGGCTGTGGCCTGGGTCCCACCTGGCTCATCCTCCTGCTCCAGTTCCCTCCTGTCGTCTCTCTGGCTCCTCCCTCCGTCATCACCACCCTGGACTCTGTTAGTCGTCCTCCTCCTGGGAGTCCGTCCTCCGCCAGAACCTCCACCTGTCTGGTCTGCCTGCCAGCCCTTTGCCTGTCACCATCCCACATCCACTCCTTTGTCCTCCTCCTAAGTCCCCCTCCGTCCCTCCCTCTGTCTCCACGGCACGAGGATGCGCCTTCCGGCAGGGGGGCAATCTGTCACACCCCTGTGAACTGTTGATTGTGGTTTCTCCCTCTGTGTCCATATTTGGTTATTCCTGTTCTCATTATTAGTTAATCACCTCATTGTGCTCACCTGTCTGCCCTCGTTATCTGCCCTATATCAGTTCCTGTCAATTGTGTTCTAGTTTGTCGGTTATTGTGAATGTTACCTTGTGTGTGTATGTTCCTGACCTGTCTGGATTACCTATGGTGGATTAATTAAAGTGATTATTGGAATTATCCGTCGTCTTCGTCGTCCTGCCTGTTTACACACACCGTGTTCGTGACAACATCCCTCTGATCCCAGTATAAATTATATTACTATAATTAAAAATCTTATGAACTTATGTGATTTCTTTTGATAAAATACTTCATGAAATATAATCATATTTGGGTAACAAAGAAATTATAGCTACAATTAGCTTCAAGCTACACATGGAAATTAATACAACAGTTTTACTTAAAAGTCACTATCAATCACCATTGAGTGTTTGTAAAAACTTCTGTTTGCGATTCAGTGTAGATTTTGGTCAAATTATTAGGCAGAAATATATTGTTAGTAACATCTTAGAAGAATTTGATGGGGAAGATACACAATTACAGCTTCTGTGGGGCGTGAAGGAAAAGTAATGTAACTCGTAGTGTAACTGATTACTGTTGCCAGATAGTAATAAGTAAAGTAATAATATTACTTTTGAAAGGAGTAATGAATAATAAATTACATTTTTGGAGTAATGAGCCCAACACTGGTCATAACACACCCAACTGCATCTCAGAGTGTCACTGAAAGTTGTTGTCAGGTGAAGTTGTTGTAAGGTTTGTTTGCATGTATTTATGTTTACATTTATTATTTATTTATTTTATAAATATAATTTTATAACAATATAAATATGTAAGGATTATTTTAATCTAAATGTTGTTTATTTATGTACTTTATTATTTATACATTTATGATAGTATGTTTAATTACATTGTTATATATTATATTATATAATAATAGTAGTCTGGGTTAGTAATTACAGGTTATGCATGGTGTATTTCCTGCATTGCTTTTGCTTTTTATATATTATTTTTTTATTTATATTATTTTTTTATTATTATTTAATTTGTTTTATAATTGTGTTTATTTACATACATTTATAAATGTATACTAACTTAGGTGTTTAATTATATATATTATTGTATTATATTATTACATTATATTATTAAATAATATAGTGGGTTCTCTCTACATTTTGCTCACATTTCATATTTATTTATTTATTATTTATAAATGATAGTTTTTTGTATTACACACACACACACACACCAATCTATTATTTATAAATAAATATATAAATTATATATTTATTATAAATAAATAATATATAGAAATAGATAATAGATATATAACTATAAAACTAGCTTTGGTTTTTAGGTGTTGAAGTATAAATCATATTATATTAGATTATAAAGTTTCTCAGTTTTTCTCTTGCTTTTCAATTTGTCAGTTCTTTATCTCTTTTCCACAGTATTTCATAGGCCCACTGGAGCAAACAAGACATTTGCGTTAGCAACTGAGCTGAATTATGTCTCATGCATTAGCAGCGCTCATGAATATGCAAGATAAAATTTACATGATAATCATGTCTCAAAGATCATCTCTCAAATTGCCAGGGCACCAAAAAAACTAATATAAAATAATTAGTGCATGTAAATATAAGATCTGGGCTGTGTGTTAAATACTCTTCAGTTGTGAGTGAATGACATGAGCAGTGAGTGATGTTTGTAATCTGTCACATTCGGAGGTGTAATAAGGTGTGAAATCAAGCAGGGCTGTAATTGTGCTGCTCTAACAGCAGATGTGGCCCATTTGAGGAGATGTGATTTTGATGAGATGAGAGTCACAGCAGAGAGCAAACATTTACTCATACACAACCAACACAAGTGTGTTCACTCCCATATCTTTCTGAACATGAAATATCATACATTATGAAATAATATATACTAACGCTCAGTTTAAAAAAAAAAAAAAAAAAATTTTATTGAGCAAGGACACAATCAAAAGGGATAGTAAAGACATTTATAATTTATAATTCTAGTTTCCCATTTCAAATAAATGCTGTTTTGAACTTTCTATTCATCAAAGAATCTTGAAAAAATGTTTGCACAAAATATTAAGCAGCAAAAACTTTTTAACATTGATAATAACCATTATTAATAACTGAGAACCAATCATTATTGAGCAGCAAATCAGCATATTAGAATGTTTTCTGAAGGATCATGATGCTGAAAATTCAGCTTTGCATCACAGGAATAAATTACATTTTGTAATATATTGAAATAGAAAACATTATTTTAATTAGTAATAATATTTCACAATATTACTGTTTCTTGTTCTTTTTAACCGGACTTACTTCGTGAGCATAAGAGACGTAATTAAAAACATTTAAAAATCATAATGTTACCAATCTTTTGACAAGTACTGAAATGATTGATATTTTGTAAATATATGACACAAAAATATGTGATATTATATTTGATATAATACAACACAATATGTTATTTATTTGATACAATATGATATGATACAGAATAATGCAAATTCCATATATTATATGATATATGATATGATTTGGTGGTCTTCTTATATATTACAACAATATCTCATGTCCCATATTGCATAATTCAATAGAGTAATACAGTATAACATAAGATATGTCGTGATATGTAATTCACTGTTGCAATATATGATGCAATTTAAAACACTACAGTACAATGATCTGTGATGTGATATGATATATTATGTGGTACATGACAACAAAATATGATTTGCTACACTGTTTTGTTCCATTTATATATAGATGCAAAATATTACAGTTCTGGCTGTAAATTCTGAGTTGAAGTTTAAAGGCGTTGTGAAATGCATGCAAACACGTGGCCACACATTCTATATTAATATTTTATCGTTTTTGTGTTGCTTGGCAACTGTAAACAACTCACAGACACACAAACTTGAATCACTTGGCAAAATAACTGTTTTCCAATTATTAGCATTAATAAACATAACTTTACTGAACATTGCTGCTTTTTATCATAGTGCTGTTGTTGCCATTTTCTGAATGTAGCTATCCACTTTATTGCTTTAATATGTTATGCTACAACATTACAATATAGGATATGATGAGATACAATATGTTATGATAATGCAGTAATAAAAATACTGGACTTACAAATGAAAGGCATTAAGATTTCATGTCGGTTCTTTCCTCTTCAGTCTCATGGCCTCCAGACAGTACTACTTTGAGATTCTCCACAAGCAGGACGACAAAGGCTCGGATCACATTGAAGTCGGGGTGAGTTTTGAATCAGCTCAACTCAAGCTCAGAGTTTCAGAAATGTCTCTTAATGTGCTTCAGACCACACAGCACTTCCCAATTCAGCTTCTGTTTATCTCATCTAAACATGCACAATCAGGAATCCTTCACTAGCCATTATCTGCAGTGCCAAAACAGCTGTTATTGTCCACTTTGATGAATGCTATTATACCAGTCTTTTCAGTCCACTGGCTATTCTGATGATTGAGAATACAGGCTAAAGAAACTGAATGGTCATATCTGCTTTCACTCACAGCTTTGATAACGCTCCCTTCAGTCGGCTTGAGAGAGCTGAAAACCTCTCAAAGCCTCTCTTTGGGTTTTTAAGAGTGGGTGACCAGCATTCAGTTGGTCAACCACTTTTTATATTTTATTTTATTTCATTTTTTTAATACATTTGATTACATAAATAAGACAATATTAATATATTAAAACATTAATACATTTTATTTTACTATTTGTTTTTCTATTGTTTGTTTTTGCTCAGATTAATTCTCAGCACTTCCACATGTTCAATGTCTTGTACATGTTCACATGTTCAAATACTGATTTGTTAAATAAATTAATACATTATATATATATATATATATATATATATATGTGTGTGTGTG